GGAAAAAAAAAAAATTTTGGTTTTGGGGGGGCGGGGCCAAAATTTTTTTTTTGGGGGGGGGAAAGGGTTTAATTTCCCCCGGGGGAAAAAAAAAAAAAAAGTTTTTTTGGGGAAAAAAAAATTGAAACCAAAAAACCCAAAATTTTTTTTTCCCCCCCGTTTATCGCTCGAGAAGTGCGCCACAAACTCTTCCACGTTCCACTCATACTTCACCCGCGCATCGTCCCGTGGAGCCATCGATTCTTTGAACGTGCCCCGGTCTACAGAGAACTCGACCGCAAATGACATCCAAACAAAACTCAATGCGTAAATACGAGCAGTTGTTCTGAAATGGGTCACGTGATGATAACCTCAGTCAGATACGAGCTCTCTTTTGGTTTTTCAGTCTAGTATCAGAAAGTATCGTGGTGTGATCAGTAGACGAATCGGAGTATTTGTCAGGATTGCTGATCTGCCCGTGTAAGATGAGCATTGGAGGGTTCCACGTACGTGAAGAGGTGTTGCAGTGTGCGCGCGGACGCTTGCCGTAACAGAAGTGATATCCACCAAAAGGAGTCGCAGGGACGACAAATTACGTTGTTGCAGGATCAGTGTACAGGAATCCTACTTATGGCCAGAAAAATCTCTAAAGACTTTTCTCACACGTGGGACGCGTCCACCGAGTCATCGCGTTATCTACTCACGCGTTAACTCTACAATTGCTGCAACCAGGCGTGTGGTATCACGCATTGCCGTGAGGTATCACGCTTCGCTAACGGGAGCCTCGCACGCGATACTCGTGAGAACGATATTTATGCACCGCAGTGCTCCTGTGAGCGCTGTTTGACGTTAGAAAAGTGCACATGATTATTTTCGATTCCTTTAAGTTTTGACTTTGTGACTCTTTCAATCCGAGGTAAAAACCGTTTAATTTTAATTTTGAATTGATATAATTTGAACGTTATGTAATTTTCAAGATCTAATTTACTTTTGGGCTTAATATTTGAATACTATTATTTGAAGCTACGACGGAAATTTATTTAATACTTTGAATTGTTTGCATACGTGGCTTGAATTTTCCAATTACGGATCTCTCCGCAAATATGTTTAAACTTGTAAAAAGCTTGTTTTTGCAGAGCTGACAAAGGATAAAATATGTTAAAGCGGAGGAACCAACACAATTACTCTAATACCACGTCGTTAGCTGTTTCTAAAAAGTCTATAATCCTTTAAAACTGTTTGTAATTTAGGTATTTTTCTTTTAGGAAATGGCACCGCGAGTTAAAGTTTTAGGTTCGGTTTGTATTTTTATATGGATTCTAAGAGAATAAATCTGCAGATTAACTTACTGTTAATGTATGGAATAGGTTTTTAGATTTGTTAAAAATGACTCAGAGTTGCAATGATACTAATTGTACGGGTATTGCCCCCAAACATTTTATAAATCATATTTTTGTCTATGGAATGTTAAATACGCTTATCTTTCATTTTTCTTTAATAAGAGTTATTTAAACATAACAGAAACAGGGAATTTGACTCTGATGTCGCTGTTGCATCGGAAATGTTCACCGTCAAAACTAGAACATAATAAATTAATATTTATGGACACTGCGTTATAGCAGTTACAAATTGTTTCACATGGCACTAATCACAGTGCTGGCAAGCACGACCGTTGCATTTATTGTGGGTATACTATGTTCCCCATTTACTATTATACCCCCTTTACTATTATACCCCCTTTACTATTATACCCCCTTTGGTACACGTTACAAGCCTCTTTTGTGCACGCGAAGCGTGCACTCCGGCCGGAGGCGGCGGCCGAAGGCCGCCGCCTCCGGCACGAGTTTTCCAGGCATTAAGACTCATCGGAAGTCGTTAAGCAGAATTATTTTTAGTTCAAAACATTCTAATTTGATGTCAAAGATGACAGGAATAAAAAATAGTTATGTTGAGATTTTTAAGAAATTTGCATAAAATACTCGCCAGCACTGTTATACGAAATTCGGTAAAAAACCCAAAATCGCCATATTCAGGTGCCTTAAAAACCATGTTAAAATTGAGTTAGAGATCTGAAATTTTTCAGGGCGTCTAGACGTTGATCAAATCGACTGCAAAAAAAGTTTCAGGTTTCAGGAGTATCGGGAAATGGGTTTTCTAGAACCCCTGTTTTACGACAGATTGTCGTGATATATATATATATATACATACATATTCAGGGATAGACGCTTTGCCAGTCAATGTAGCCTGTATTTAATTGTCCATAGATTCAAAAGTATAAAAGATAAAGCCATTTCCGACCACAGGTCTTGCAAATAATTGTTTACACTTTAGTTTACATTGTATAAAAAATTATTTGACGTCATAAACACCCCTTGATGACGTTCATCAAGTTTAACCGTTTTTAAAACTTGATTTTTGACAAAGTAATAACTTTTAAACTTAATTTTAAACCATTAAGGAGTAATTTTATTCAAAACTGAGGAGAATTTCACCTTAGATAATTGTTCAAGCATTCTGAAAATCTACCGGAAAGTTTTTTCTAGCTTGCTCCTTCAAAAGATATTCGGCATTGAAGTTTGTGCTTTTTGTTGAAGATTTATTTTATAAAAACGTCAATTTTGCGATTTAGTATTCTCTGGTGGTTGGGCCATGCCTTGAGTTGAGGAGCTCAGTTCTGCTTCCTATAGGTATAAATTGTGCATTAGGCTAGTTTTTGAAGTTGAAAATCGAAAAGTTGCACACGTGGGGACACGCCCAAATTGATAGAAAATTGCTAAAATCACTGAAAATTGCTGTTTTCGTCATTTTCTGTCAACTTTAGAGTGCCGTTGTGATTACAGTTCTTCTTGAAAATACTTTGAAACTTTGCATGCTTATTAAACTATATATAAAACAATTTACATGAAAAAATTTACGGCGATTCAATATTGGATGCGCACGCAACGTCCGCTCAAAGTTTGCACGTGCGAAAGGTGAGAATTTTGCTCATTCGTGATTTCCAACAAAGTCTGCTTTGCCACGACAGTTTAATGTCATTATATATGAATTTAATGCCAACTTGAATGAGTATTAGGTGGCATATTCAGTCAGTGATCGACCGATATGCTTACCTAAACACAAGGAAATGTTTTTAAAAGGAAAATTTCGAAATCGTTGAAACTTCCTCCTTATTAATTAATGAAGATATCAGTTTATATTTCGACTTTATAAAGTACCCTGACATTATAATCAAAAAGAGATGATATTTTACCAAAACCCATATTCATGGGTAGAGGTGGACCGCTGCCAGTGTCTCTCTTTCCCAAACAAAAGGAAATGATATTAATTTGATTGACCGTTCTCAAATGCAAAATGATACCGAGAATGAAATCGGTCGCTCGCTTTTCCCATTCATTTACAATTGTATAGATTAAGAAGATCTACCCAAAGGCAGCTGTACTCGGCAATAAAGATTCAATAAACTTCAGCTAATTCAATAAGCAATAACTACTACCCTTACCCCGAAATACTAGGTATCGATCCGAACGCAACCCAAAGAGATTTTTACAGCATCTGACTGATGTAATCAATCGAAATTTATTACAATTCGTAAGCCGTGAATGAAGGGAAAAAGCGAGCGACCGATTTCATTCTCGGTATCATTTGCATTTGAGAACGGTCAATCAAATTAATATCATTTCCTTTTGTTTGGGAAAGAGAGACACTGGCAGCGGTCCACTCTACCCATGAATATGGGTTTTGGTAAAATATTATATAAATATAATAGTAATATAGTCATGTGTTTATGATGCTCCAGAATTTATGTTTAAAATTTTAGGGAAAAAAATCAACAAGGAACTTTCAACTTGTTTATTAGACGGCCAGTGGCGTAACGACCGCCCGGCTAACCTGCTAGTCAGGGGGGGCAGGCCACCTTAGGGGGCGGCTATTTGTCCGCCCATCTTACATTATTGTGCCGCCCCCTGTAGCCGGTTGATGGACCCGTGACTCTTCATACCGAAGTATAAAAAAAAGTAAAGAAATTAGTTGAACGTGTCTACTACTCCAAAATTCTACACGAATTATTACGCGCACGTAACCACGCGCTGACAAGTTGAGCCAAAAAAGTGATAAACGATACTACACTTTCATTGTTTTAGTACTTAGCGCGGAGGCCACAATTTCTAATGATGCGCGGTGTGCCTAAAGTCTTATACGGACGGTAATTGTCTTGAACCTCTAAAACCTTCCGAAGGTTGCAGTTTGTGACTTTTCAATAATTTTAAATCCGGCTCTGGGCCCTGGCTCAGGTTTGTTCTCGGTAGTAGGCCAAATAGAAACACCCGTTTCAAAGATACACTTATAAATTATGTTAAGAAATAGAAAACATCATGATCACAGATCAAGTCAACCCTCAATTTACAACAATTTACAAAATACAAAAAAAATAAATAAAATGTTCAGTCGGGAAACGCTTGATGCGCCCTGCTTATGCACTGGCAAAATTTTTGTACCAGCTATTCGAGCGCTTCAAGTTTGTCAACCTCACTGTTTCGCAATTGAGATGATGAGACTAAATCCTAAGTCTAGATTGTGACATAGTCGACCTTAGATAAGTTTTTTATCAACTTTAACCTTCGAGGATGGACCGTTCCGCCGATGACTGTGGACTGGTATAGCTATGAAAAGCTACAAGGCTGCCTACCAACATGGGGACCAACAGCGGAGGTCTCACTCGAAGATAAAGTTGACCAAATGGGAGGATTGTCACATCTTCGGTCCTTAGCTCACTCCCGTAATCTTCCTTCAGGTCAATTAACTCGTCTGCCAAAAGATGGGCTGAAGCCTTGTGGTAGATCTTTACCAACTCATTCGCAGCAGTTCGGGAGGGTCCGTGCAACTCTTGTCGTAGTGTTTGGGCTGCAAACACGCCGAACTTGCTCATATTGAGTTGTGTCCCTCAAATGAAGATGGATTTGTTTCCCGACATGTCTTCACGTGTGGGAAGAAATATCTGTTACCTTCGAACAAATCCTTCTTCGATGGTGTCTGGTGAAGTTCTGGCACGAAGTTGGACCAGCAATATCTGTGACAGGTTCCGGGCCTATGGTGAGATGGAATGGACTGTCGGCCCAGTCATAGATGGCTTGCTGTGAGCTACTACGATGAAGTATCCAATTCCCTCTAGATTTCGGAGAAATCTTGTAAAGCTGCTGAGAGCAGCTGGCAACAAATCAATGTACCTGGTTTTTTGCCTGGCGCAAGTTAGTTATAGTCTGTGCCTTGAGAGAGCAGCTTCTCCCAAACACAAGAGTAATGGTGTAACTCGAAAGTTCTAACGCTACTCAAAAGTCCCGCAGATGTTTCGGCAGTTGGTGCGTGATAGCTTCGTCAGAAGTCCTGATGGATATCTGGGCTGCGATACTGATGGGCCCTAACGCTTTCTTGGACGAGACGACCACCTCGTTGGGCAAAGTTTTTGAGGCTAAAGCCCGGAGAGTTCTTCGTCAGCTCCTCCAGCGTAATGAGCTCGATCCAACAAACGTAAAAACCTGGCCCAGCCGTCGACAGAAACTCACTGGTGTGGTTGGTAGCAGCCACAACATTTTTATCCACCAAACACAGATTGTGGGTCGAACGGGCACGAAGGGAACAGGGTTCGTTGTTCTGTCCTCTTCATTTCGTCTGTACTCCCCACATAAACTCCCGACATAACACTGGCTCCGTCAAATCCCGGTCCTCTAAGTTAGTCCAGCGTGGATTCCCCGCTGCTGCGAGGTCTTCAATAGCGAGATTAGAAATTAGCCTCTGCTTTTCAGATGGGACATTTGCGACTGAATCCGAGGAAGGTTCATGCACTGTATGAGAGTCTCGAAACGGAAAACCCGCGCCCACCAAACTTAATTGGGCGACCTGTGAGGGAATATGTCAAAAAAGTTCTAGATTTCTTAAGACACATCGATGGAAGAAATAAGGTCAACATAGTGAAAACGGGAAGGTTGTTAACGGTTTTAATGTTGCTTTACCCAATGTCCACCTGTACAGACATACAGCATATTACATATAAAACAAATTTGAAATCAAATGTCATTTGACCAAAAAAGATGGAACGAACCTTTCCCAGATCAACTGTCGAATCAAGGATAATCGAAAGTAGTTGGTTCAAACTGCTTGCCCAGTTTGACGGTCTCCTGAAGCAAGTGATCGCCACGCCCAAGGGGAAGACCAAATATCTGAGCCCTGCGATCCAAAACGAGCTGATCTCCCTTATCGCCGAGGAAATGCGGATCTCCTTGGTATCGGATATCCTAAAGAGCCCCTACTTTTCGATTATCCTTGATTCGACAGTTGATCTGGGAAAGGTTCGTTCCATCTTTTGGTCAAATACATTTTGATTTCAAATTTGTTTATGTAATATGATTATGTCTGTACAGTGGACAATGGTAAAGAAAAATACCGTTACACCTTCCCTTTTCACTATGTTGTACATTTATTTCTTCCATCGGATGTGTATTAGAATCTAGAAGCTATTTTATTGACATATTTCCCTCACAGGTAGACCAATTAAGTTTGGTGGTGCGCTGGGTTTCCGTTCGAGACTCTCAAGTACAGGTGCATGAGACCTTCCTCGGATTCATCGCAATGTCATCTGGAAAAGCAGAGGCTATTGCTAATCTCGCTATTGAAGAACTCCAGAAGCTGGGAATCACGCTGGACAAACTTAGAGGACAGGGATTTGACGGAGCCAGTGTTATGTCGGGAGTTTATGGGGGAGTACAGACGATACTGAAGAACAGAACCACGAACCCTGTTCCCTTCGTGCACTGTTCGACCCACAATCTGTGTTTGGTGATAAAAGATGTTGTGGCTGCTACCAACCACACCAGTGATTTCTTCGACTGTCTGGGCCAGGTTTTTACGTTTGTTGGATCGAGCTCATTACGCTGGGAGGAGCTGAAGATGAACTCTCCGGGCTTAGACCTAAAAAAACTTTGCCCAACGAGGTGGTCGTCTCGTCATGAAAGCGTTAGGGCCATCAAGAATCGGCAGCCAGATATCATCAGACTTCTGACGAAGCTATCACTCACCAACTGCCGAACATCTGCGGGACTTTTGAGTAGAGTTAGAACTTTCGAGTTCACCATTACTCTGGTGTTTTGGGAGAAGCTGCTCTCCAAGGCACAGACTATTACTAACATGCTCCAGGCTAAAAACCTGGACATTGGAGTTGTGCCAGCTGCTCTCAGCAGCTTTACAAGATTTCTCCGAAATCTAGAGGGAAATTGGGATACTCTCATCGTAGAAGCTCAGCAGCAAGCCATCTATGCTGGGGCCGAGCAGTCATTCCAGCTCACCATGGCCCGGAACCTCTACAGATATTCTGGTCAACTTCGTGGCCAGAACTTACCAGAACCATCGAAGAAGGATTTGTTCAAGGTACAGATATTTCTTCCCACACTGAAGACATGTCGGGAACAAATCCTTCTTCGATTTGAGGGACACAACTCAATAGTGAGCAAGTTCGCGTGTTTGCAGCCCAAACACATACTGACGAAGAGTTGCACGGACCTCCGAACTGCTGCGAATGAGTTGGTAAAGATCTACCACAAGGACTTGCAGCCATCATTGGCAGACGAGTTAATTGACCTGAAGGAAGATTACGGGAGTGAGCTAAGGACCGAAGATGTGACAAGTCCTCTCCAGTTGGTCAACTTTATCTTCGAGAGAGACCTTCCGCTGTTGTGTCCGCAGTTGGTAGCAGCCTTGATGCTTTTCATAGCTATACCAGTCACTGTTGCATCGGCGGAACGGTCCTTCTCGAAGTTAAAGTTGATAAAAACTTATCTAAGGTCGACTATGTCACAATCTAGACTTAAGGATTTAGCTCTCATCTCAATTGAGAACAGTGAGGTTGACAAACTTGATCGCTCGAAGCTGGTACAAAAATTTGCCAGTGCAAAAGCAGGGCGCATCAAGCGTTTCCACTGAACATTTATTTATTTTTTTGTATTTTGTAAATTGTTGTAATTGGGTTGACTTGATCTGTGATCATGATGTTTATTTTACTTAACATAATTTATAAGTGTATCTTGAAACGGTTGTTTCTATTTGTCCTACTACGATAACTAACATGGCCAGAGCCCAGGAGCCGGATTTAAAATTATTGAAAAGTCACAAACTGCAAACCTCGAAGGTTAGAGTTCACACAATTACCGTCGTATAAACTTTAGTCACACCGCGCATCATTAGAAATTGGCCTCCGCGCTAAAGTTTAAACAATGAAAGTGTAGTATCGTTATCACTTTTTGCGCAACTTTCAGCGCGTGGTTAAGTTGCGCTATAAATTCGTGTAGAATTTTGGAGTAGTAGACACGTTCAACTAATTTCTTTACTTTTTTTTTACTTCGGTATGAAGAGTCACGGGTCATCACCGGCTACAGGGGGCGGCAAAATTATGTAATGGGGCGGAAAAATGCCGCCCCCCTAAGGTGCCGCCCCCCTGCTAGCAGGGTTAGCAGGGGCGGTCGTTACGCCACTGGCCGTCTAATAAACAAGTTGAAAGTTCCTTGTTGATTTTTTCCCTAAAATTTTAAACATAAATTCTGGAGCATCATAACACATGACTATATTACTATTATATTTATATAATATTTTACCAAAACCCATATTCATGGGTAGAGTGGACCGCTGCCAGTGTCTCTCTTTCCCAAACAAAAGGAAATGATATTAATTTGATTGACCGTTCTCAAATGCAAAATGATACCGAGAATGAAATCGGTCGCTCGCTTTTTCCATTCATTCACGGCTTACGAATTGTAATAAATTTCGATTGATTACATCAGTCAGATGCTGTAAAAATCTCTTTGGGTTGCGTTCGGATCGATACCTAGTATTTCGGGGTAAGGGTAGTAGTTATTGCTTATTGAATTAGCTGAAGTTTATTGAATCTTTATTGCCGAGTACAGCTGCCTTTGGGTAGATCTTCTTAATCTATTACAATTGTAAATGAATGGGAAAAGCGAGCGACCGATTTCATTCTCGGTATCATTTTGCATTTGAGAACGGTCAATCAAATTAATATCATTTCCTTTTGTTTGGGAAAGAGAGACACTGGCAGCGGTCCACTCTACCCATGAATATGGGTTTTGGTAAAATATCATCTCTTTTTGATTATAATGTCAGGGTACTTTATAAAGTCGAAATATAAACTGATATCTTCATTAATTAATAAGGAGGAAGTTTCAACGATTTCGAAATTTTCCTTTAAAAACATTTCCTTGTGTTTAGGTAAGCATATCGGTCGATCACTGACTGAATATGCCACCTAATACTCATTCAAGTTGGCATTAAATTCATATATAATGACATTAAACTGTCGTGGCAAAGCAGAATTTGTTGGAAATCACGAATGAGCAAAATTCTCACCTTTCGCACGTGCAAACTTTGAGCGGACGTTGCGTGCGCATCCAATATTGAATCGCCGTAAATTTTTTCATGTAATTGTTTTATATATAGTTTAATAAGCATGCAAAGTTTCAAAGTATTTCAAGAAGAACTGTAATCACAACGGCACTCTAAAGTTGACAGAAAATGACGAAAACAGCAATTTTCAGTGATTTTAGCAATTTTCTATCAATTTGGGCGTGTCCCCACGTGTGCAACTTTTCGATTTTCAACTTCAAAACTAGCCTAATGCACAATTTATACCTATAGGAAGCAGAACTGAGCTCCTCAACTCAAGGCATGGCCCAACACCAGAGAATACTAAATCGCAAAATTGACGTTTTTATAAAATAATTCTTCAAAAAAGCACAAACTTCAATGACGAATATCTTTATGAAGGAGCAAGCTAGAAAAACTTTCCGGTAGATTTTCAGAATGCTTGAACAATTATCTAAGGTGAAATTCTCCTCAGATTTTGAATAAAATTACTCCTTAATGGTTTAAAATTAAGTTTAAAAGTTATTACTTTGTCAAAAATCAAGTTTTAAAAACGGTTAACTTGATGACGTCATCAAGGGGTGTTTATGACGTCAAATAATTTTTTTATACAATGTAAACTAAAGTGTAAACAATTATTTGCAAGACCTGTGGTCGGAAATGGCTTTATCTTTTATACTTTTGAATCTATGGACAATTAAATACAGGCTACAATTGACTGGCAAAGCGTCTATCCCTGAATATGTATGTATATATATATATATATATCACGACAATCTGTCGTAAAACAGGGGTTCTAGAAAACCCATTTCCCGATACTCCTGAAACCTGAAACTTTTTTTGCAGTCGATTTGATCAACGTCTAGACGCCCTGAAAAATTTCAGATCTCTAACTCAATTTTAACATGGTTTTTAAGGCACCTGAATATGGCGATTTTGGGTTTTTTACCGAATTTCGTATAACAGTGCTGGCGAGTATTTTATGCAAATTTCTTAAAAATCTCAACATAACTATTTTTTATTCCTGTCATCTTTGACATCAAATTAGAATGTTTTGAACTAAAAATAATTCTGCTTAACGACTTCCGATGAGTCTTAATGCCTGGAAAACTCGTGCCGGAGGCGGCGGCCTTCGGCCGCCGCCCCCGGCCGGAGTGCACGCTTCGCGTGCACAAAAGAGGCTTGTAACGTGTACCAAAGGGGGTATAATAGTAAAGGGGGTATAATAGTAAAGGGGGTATAATAGTAAATGGGGAACATAGTATACCCACAATAAATGCAACGGTCGTGCTTGCCAGCACTGTGATTAGTGCCTTGTTGAAACAATTTGTAACTGCTATAACGCAGTGTCCATAAATAATAATTTATTATGTTTCAGTTTGACGTGAACATTTCCGATGGCAACAGCGACAACAGAGTCAAATTCCTGTTCTTTATGGTTAAATAACTCTTATTAATAGAAAATAAATAGCGGTATTTAACATTCAATAGACAAAAATATGATTTATAAAAGTTTGGGGGCAAATACACGTACAAGTGTATCATTGCAACGCTGAGTCATTTTACAAATCTAAAAACCTATTCCTAATACATTAACAGTAAGTATAATCGGCAGATTTATTCTCTTAAATTCATATAAAAATACAAACCGAACCTAAAACTTTAACTCCTCTTTTCCTAAAGAAAAATACCTAATTATCAAGACAGTTTTAAAGATTATAGACTTTTTAAACATCATAACGACGTGGTATTATTAGTAATTGTGTTGGTTATCCGCTTTACATATTTAATGCTTTGTCAGCTCTGCAAAAACAAGCTTTTTAAAAGTTTAAACATATTTGCGGAGAAGAATCCGTAATTGGAAAAAGTCAAGCCACGTATCAGAACAATTCAAAGTTTAATTAAATTTCCGTTCGTAGCTTCAAATAATAGTTATTCAAATATTAAGCCCCAAAAGTAAATTTATCTTAAAATTAAATAACGTTCAAATTATATCAATTCAAAATTAAAATTAAACGTTTACCTCGGATTGAAAGAGTCAAAGTATAACTTAAAAGGAATCTGAAAATAACATGCACTTTCTAACGTCACAGCGCCTCACAGGAGCACTGCGGTGCATAAATATCGTCTCAAGAGTATCGCGTGCAGGCTCACGTGCGAATGCGTGATACCTCACGCAAATGCGTGATACCTCACGCCTGGTTGCAGCATTGTAGAGTTAACGCGTGAGAGATAACGCGATGACTTGTGACGCGTCCCACGTGTGTGAAAAGTCTTTAGATTTTTCTGGCTATCAGTATGATCTGTACACAGAGTCTGCAACAACTATATTGTCTGTCCCTGCGACTCTGTGGATATTCACTTTCTGTACGGCAAAGCGTCGCGCGCACACGTGCACACATCTTCACGTACGTGTACCATCCAATGCTCATCTTACACGTGCAGATCAGCAATCCTGTCAAATATCTCCCTGATTCTCTACTGATCACACCACGAAACTATCTGATAAGAACTGGACAAAAAGAGAGCTCGTATCTGACTGAGGTTATCAGTCACGTGACTCCATTTCAGAACAACTGCTCGTATTTACTCATTGAGTTTGTTTGGATGGTCATTTGTTCGAGTTCTCTGTAGACCGGGGCACGTTCAAAGGAATCGGAAGGCTCCACGGGGACGAGGCGCGGGTGAGAGTAGAGTGGAACGTGGAAGGAGTTTGTGGCGCACTTCTCGAGCGATAGGAGTTTGTAGTCGTAGGGTGGCTGGTAGCGATCTGAGACGAGAAGTTAGTGACGTCATCAAGGTAGTGATGACGCACAGACAACAGCACGGAGACCGATGGGCAAAATTTGGGGGCTGAATTTAGAAATGATCTCATGTAATGAAGCTGATCAAATTATCACGTCCAAATTTCTTGTACACCAAATTTTCCTCCTGGAGCTGTTTTTCCACTCCGTAATTTTTTTAAATTTGCTACGTCTGCTCGTATTTGATCATTTTGTTATCCTAACAACCGACATTTCCAAGTTTGATATAAATTATATATTTATTATCGTATTACGATTTATTATAATCGTTATAATTTCTATCACCGTGGACAAATATCATATGTCGTGTCTACAAAGGTTACATTTCCAAGCGTATAATTTAATAACATGTGCTTTTTATGCTATGATAGGATAGTTCAATGAGGATACCTTGTCGAATTCAAGTATCACAAGCGTATCAAAAATTAACATAGCAGATTTGTAATTCGAAATTGAACGACTAAACTTAAGTTTAAAAGAGAATTTCAAGGGGAACCAATTACATTTACTCCCCTTAAGTGTTTCGTATGAAATTCTCGATCTTTCGGGATGTATTAAACTGTTAAACTAAAGAATTTACTTTTAAAAAGTGAGAAGAGAAGCTTTGTTATAGAAATTTTTAACTTTTGCCTCTAAGTGGGTTTTCGTGCTGTTGTAGTGCTAGTAGAATGTAGAAATATTACATTCAGAATGGTATTTAAGCGAAGTAGTAATATGTAATTCTCTGGGCTTCCATAACTTTTTGTAAAAAGCAGCAATAAACAAAACATTGAAAGACAAATATTGACAGTTTTCAGTTCTAAAGTATGCAGCGGGAAGGAACATGGAGAAAGTGAAAGGGAAAGTGAAAGTGTTTTTCACTTACCGACTGGAGGTTGTTTAGGCTCACAGCATTTACAGATTAAACATCTCATTATTCCCAAGTCGGCTCTTTTCTTTTTCCCGCTTGCTGAAACAAATGTATTGTTAAACTTAAATTCGATCGATACATTTTTCTAATATTAAGCGGTATATGAGCGATAATTTTTCGCTTCCCTGAAGTACCCTGACTTCAAAGATAAACTCCTTGAAATGAAAGTGTAACTGAAATCAATACTCACAAATGATGAAGAAGATGTACATGACGAAGACTGCCACTAGAGCAGTGATAAAGAGCACTATTCCCACTCCCAAGTAAACGCTCGCCGAAACTTGATTAGCAGCAGCTGAAAAGAAAACGGAACTTCAGATTAATGTTATAGAATAATTTGTGGCCTAACTAAACACAATTTTACTTTTAAGTTTCTCCAAGCATTAATTATATCAGTAGTTAATGACTACTGACTAGATAGGGTTATTGTAATGAAAAGTTACAATGAATGATGGCATCTGGACTAGTGGACTTGGGACCAGCTCACAATACATAACATTAATGCCCTCTGAATACCATGAGGTTAGCTCAAGAAATGTTATAGATTTGTAGTGTTTTAATTATTATATATAATATATATATACATTATTATTATATATATATATTATTATATATATATTATTATATATAATATATATATATTATTATATATATATATTATATATATATTATATATATATATTATATATACAAAATGAAACGACCGGTTGAGTCAGACAAATGTTTCAATCATGATACAAAACCATGATATCGTCAGTGACAACTGAGGTATAGGAACTAAAATCAAAATTATAAAGCTAAAATTTAACATAAACAATCACTCGTGAAACAATACTAGGGGTTAGATGTATGAGTCATTAGATTATAAAAGGAATTTCCGTTTATGGCGGCATTTTGTGAGGATTTCCGTCCTGGAGTTAAGTAAGTGTGGGTCAGAGGATCGAAGTAAGATTTCTAATTTCTCAGACGTGCACAGATCGCAGCTGTTCTGGCCGGCTCTGTATCCGTGTCCACGTCTGATTATTTTCCATTCGATCCTGAATTCTAACCCACGGTCTTTGAGGGACCAGATCTTCTCCGACAGTTTGGTTCTATTTCGGTACCGCTCCAGGCGAAATGATGACGTGTGCCCGTTGTACCGGTCCTTGAATGTGCCCTCCGTCATACCGATGTAGTGGTGCTTCTCATTTTCCGTACGGAGGGTCGCCATGTATACCACAGACTTCGATAGGCACTTTCCGTCTAGTGGGCAGGAGTTCCTGGAGCGGCAGTTGCACTGCCGTGTGGTGGGTTCCTGGGTTTCCTGGTGCTGACGAAGCAACTGCTTGTTCCGGGATTTTATGAGGCATTCCATGTTTTTCATACAGCTGTATGAGACTCTGTCACTGTGGAGACCAATGTTGGAAGGAAATTCTTCAATCTGTTGGAGAAACACTTCCCTCAGGACAATCCACTACACAAGATCTTGAACCGGAACAGTGTAAAAGTCTCATACAGCTGTATGAAAAACATGGAATGCCTCATAAAATCCCGGAACAAGCAGTTGCTTCGTCAGCACCAGGAAACCCAGGAACCCACCACACGGCAGTGCAACTGCCGCTCCAGGAACTCCTGCCCACTAGACGGAAAGTGCCTATCGAAGTCTGTGGTATACATGGCGACCCTCCGTACGGAAAATGAGAAGCACCACTACATCGGTATGACGGAGGGCACATTCAAGGACCGGTACAACGGGCACACGTCATCATTTCGCCTGGA